CCCAAAATCTCTGTGGGGCAGGGGGTGCCTCTCTGTCCCCCCCAAACAGGAGCCTCTCCTCTGCACGGCAGGTCCCCTGTGCAAGTACCGGCACACGCGGAGGGTGATGTGCTCCAACTACCTCGTTGGCTTCTGCCCAGAGGGACCCAAGTGCAAATTCATGCAGTATGTATGGGGCAGGCTGGGGTGGGGGGGCTCAGGGTACAAGTGACCTGGGATGGGGGGGGACAGCCCCTTTCTGAGGTGGCCGTGGCCTTTGCAGTGTCTGGGTCAAGGACAAGGGCACTTTAGATCCTTGTCGGATCGAACTTGGAAGCTCCTGGTCTCTCCTCGTGCCCAACCTGAGCTGGTGACCACAGGGTTTGGGTGGGCAGGGGGATGCCCAAGCCCTGGGACACCCCCAAGAGGCTGGGGGAGCTATGGGGAGATTTGGGGGTACCCTCTGCAGTGTCCAGAGGAGTGACAGCCTGTCCTGTGTCCCCCTCCAGCCTCAAGGCCGGGTTGATGACGAGCAGCATGGATCCACCCAAGGTGAGGCAGGGACTGTCCTGTCCCATTCCCCCTCGTGCCCCTGACCGTGGGGCGATGCAGCAGCTCCCCCTGCCCCACACCTCTGGTGGGATGGTGGCTCCCAACTGCCCCATGTGCCCCCAGGGAGCTGGCTGTCCTTGGGGGCTGGCACAGCTCGACCTGGCTGCCAGCGAGGAGAGTGGACACAAGGACACACCACCCATGGTGTCCCCTCTACCAGTCACCGGTGCTACCCAACACCTGGGGGACACCAGTAGCTGCCCCCCAGGACCACAGGGCCTGCAAGAACTAGGCATCACTCAAGGTGAGTGTTCTGGGGACTGGGAAGAACTGGGAGGACTGGTCCTGTCTTGGAGGGAGGGTGAAGTCCTGCCTTGGAGGGGCAGAGTGTGGTGCGGGGACCCCCCATAGCGCTGGTGAAATAAATTCTTTGACTCGAGGTGTCACAAACGTCACTACGCCAGAAAGTGGGGGACAACTCGGCTGGAAATCCTGCTGGGGATGTGACCCAAGGGCTCCTGTGAGCACCGGGAAGGAGAACAGCGTGATGGACCAGCAGAATGGCCACTAGGCCAGTGGTTGGGCTAGAAAACCCGGGTGGTTTTGCTCAGCACCGGCTTTCACAGCTTTTTGCACAAACAGCAGAGAAATAACAGCTTCTCTAAAGCCACCGAAATCACCCCCCCCCAGACAGGGGAAGGAGGAGCCCAGGGTGTGCTGATCCCCTGTTAAACGGGGCAAAAACCACCAGGTTTGAGACTGTATAGAATCAGAAAATTCACCAAGTCTTTTATTGCCAGGGAATTGTTGGTGGAACGCCTCTGACCCAGCACTGCTGCACCACTCTTGGAATAAAGAGCTCGGATATTATTTTTTCCTTGGCTTTTTTTTCTCTTTTACCCTTCGTGCCTGTAACAAGACCAGTCCTTTTCCAGACACGTTTGGCGCTGGCAGGCTACAACTAGCCCTCTCCTAACTGGCCTCGTTTGTCTGATGCAGACATTGGTTTGCCCCTTGGGCACAACAGCTAAAAATCCAATGGATTTTTTTTTTTTTTTTAGTTCCTGCAGAACTAGGGCACTGCTGCTTTCATGCCTTCCCTCAGAGCCCGGGCAGTGCCACCAGTGTCCTGCTGCCAGTGGAGCAAGGGGCTGGGACCACCCCTCGGTAGCAAAACCTCATTGTGCTTCCTGTGGAAAGAGGGGGAAGCCAAAAAACAAAAGGGCTGTGCTGGCCACAACTCTGTTAATTTAAAGGAAATGGTTATTCTGGCCGAACCCCCACCCTGTCACAATCCACCACAAACCTTATTGCCAAACACCAACTACGACATACGTGTCAATCTATATTAACAGCCCAGATCAAGGAGTTCTCCTGTGTTTAGTGTCCCAAAGTGAGAGATTTGGGCTCCTGCAGACTACAAGAGCTCTACTGCAAACACCCCCCTAAGGGGCAGCTCTAACAGCCTCTTCTTTCAGCACTAAATGCTTCCTGAACCGCAGAGCGGTGACCACAGGCTGTTACTGTCAGTGTCACCCCTCTGGCTGCAGGAGGGAAACTAGAAAACAACTCCCTCAACGACTGAAGAACCCATTTCTGACAACAAAAGTGCTTCTGCTGATTCCAATCCCTGCCAGGACCCCACTCCTGAGTGCTTCTGCTGACTCTGGTCAGGTATCGGTGACACTTCCTCGGGTGCTTTCCAGCTTCTTCAGTGGTATTTACGCCAACGATGACATTCTAGAAAAATGGAGAAGAAAGAAGAAAAAAAAAAAGCATTATTAGCACAGTGCTGTGCTCAGGGATTCTGTGAGATGAGCAGGAGACTGACTGCAGCCCTGTTTCTGTGCCGTGGAGCTGCGTGAGGGAGCAAGCCCTGGCGGGGAAACTACATAAACACCAGTAAATCCCTTGTCAGCTCTGAGTAAATCCAGGGAATGGGTGCTCAGCGCTGGAACGTCTCCCTCCATCTGCTTTGTGCAGGGTTTAAAAATGCTGACAGCTCCTGGTGCTCTCCAGGGAGAAGCTGTGAATCAGCAGCTGTTATCACCACCCTTTATTCTCGAAATTCCTCTGCCTACCTAAGCCAGGTCAGGATACTGCTCCCTGATATTAGTCTTAACCGTGAAGTATTTAAATTATTTCAGGGCTTGAATGAACATGAATGGTAAATAAGACTTTCCACCTGCTGCATAAGGGAGAATTCTCCAAAGGAGAGAGGTGATAGGAAGGAAATCTTACTGATGTGCTGGTAGTTCCAGCTGTAGCTGAGGAGGCAGTACCCAGCCAGCAGCATGGAGATCCCCGCCGGTCCCCCCCTCTTCACGTTGATGTATTTGTTGTAATAACTGCTCCAGGCTGTTGGAACAGAAATACAAGGGTCAAACCATGCGTGGGCCTCAAGAGTTCATTGGTTTCCACGTAACTTTCCACGTTGGGTCTATTTATTTACTTTTCTATAAAGCTCCAGGCTGGCCACTTGGACCAGGCTGCAGCAAGTGAATCAGGGAAGTGGGACAATTCTGCCCCAAGAGCCAGGAACTCAGCCTCACCTTTCTGCACTCCTCCAAGCAGCCCCCGGGGAGAGAAGTCTCGGGTGGTGAGCCAGGCAGGCAGCTCCCCCAGCCTGACTTCCATCAGGCGCCTTTCTGAGAGGGGACCTGTGTGATGAGACATCAGAGCTGTCAAAAGCAGGAAAATGAGGGCAACCACAGAACGATACGGGGTTGGAAGGGACCTCTGGAGATCATCTAATCCAACCCCTCTGCCAAAGCAGGGCCACCCAGAGCAGGTCCCACAGGAATGTGTCCAGGTGGGCTCTGAATGTCTCCAGAGAAGGAGACTCCATCAGAAGACACTGGGCAGCCTCTTCCAGGGCTCTGCCACCCTCACAGCAAAGAAGTGCCTCCTCATGTTTAGGTGGAACTTCTCATGTGCAGCTTTGTGCCCATTTCCTCTTGTCCTGTCACTGGCCACCACTGAAAAAAGACCAGCCCCATCCTCCTGACACCCACCCTTGAAGTATTTATAGGTGTTGATCAGATCCCCCCTCAGCCTTCTCTTCTCCAGACTAAAAAGCCCCAAGTCCCTCAGCCTTTCCTCATCAGGGAGATGCTCCAGGCCCCTCATCATCTTTGTAGCCTCCGCTGTCCCCTCTCCAGCAGTTCCCTGTCCTTCTGGAACGGGGGAGCCCAAAACTGGACCCAGTGCTCCAATGGTGGCCTCCCCAGGGCAGAGCAGTGTCCAGATGGGGCCTCCCCAGGGCAGAATAGAGTGCTTCCCTGTCCTTCTGGAACTGGGGAGCCCAAAACTGGACCCAGTGCTCCAATGGTGGCCTCCCCAGGGCAGAGCAGTGTAGTGCTCACATTCCCTGTGCTGCATGGAGAGCGTGGAGCTGGTTTCTGGTAAGTGCAAGTGGCTTGGGCTTGGGAATGCCTGCTCGGAATGGAAGAGTGAACCACCTCTCCCATAAAATGAGCTGGCTCTGCCAGCCCAAACATGCAAGAGCCCGTCTTAAACCTAAACAGAAATGTAAGCCAAGGTAAAATGGTTGTGCAGGCCGGTGGGTTGGACTGTTAACCCCCTCGGATCCTTCCTGGATCCCTTTCTGGACAAACCCAACAGCTTAGCGTTTCCTACCCTTCCTCTCCCAATCACATCCCACAGTTTAGCCTGACAGCGCAGTCATTTTCAGCAGCAGAGCCTTTTATTTCTCACCTTGTTGTCTGTCTGAGACATTGCCCTCCGGTGGCTTCGTTATGATCTCCACGCCTTGTTGAAAGGGCTTCCCTGGAAAAATACTCAGCCCGTGATAATTAGGATATAAGTCTGGAAACCACTCCAAGCCCACGGCACCCGCCGGCGTGCTCCTGCCAGAGGCCTGGGCCGGACAGATGGGTTGGCTTTTGGAGGTGTGGAGCAAGAACTGGTTCAGAGCCAGCCCCGTGTCTCTCCTCGCATTCAGGATGGGCTCAGAAACTGCAGCCATCTGCTGCCCGCTCTCTCGAAGCTTTTGTATGCTGGTTAGGTAATTTTTGGATGTCTTTTCATTGTGACCTTTGAAACCCTCCATCACTGACAGATGGACGTTCTTGGTATGCAAAGCAGAAAGAGGGGCTTTATATTCCACACCGACTTCTAGGTACATCTGCTTCTCTTCTGTCACGGTTTTGTCTACTCCCTCCTGCTGAACGAGGTCACCGGGGCCACTTCTGCAGTCAGCTTCGGGGGGATCTTGAAGTACGTGCGTTTTTGTTGCCTTTAAACTACTGCCTTTTTCTCCCTTTATGCTCGCAGATGCGTTCTCTGCAGCTCCACAGCCATGTGTCTCGCTGTTTGCGATTTCTGGGTGGGTTATTCCCTCCCGTGGGTCAGGCTGGGCTGCACCAGCGTGCTCAGCAGCACTGCCTGGATTTGGCCTTTCCACGGGTGACCTGCCTGTGCTGTGGCTTCCAGCTGAAGCATCCCTGCTCCTGGAACCGCTCTTCTCCCTGATGACCTTGGCACGGTGCTTCTCTATTACTATTTTCACTCCGTTACTCAACTTTTCGGGTATATCCTGGACTTCCTCAGGGAGCAAATCAAGGGATCTGGCTACATCCCGTATCTGTTCCGTGTGGCGTCCGTCGGGCGGGCGTCGAAGCCCGAGGCCCGACCCCCCACCCTGCCCTGCCGCAGCCTTCTTTCCCTTCCGGGCCTCCTCCCGGGGGGCCGCGCCGGGCAGCCCCTGCCCTACACCGGGACCGGGCAGCCGCTTACTGCTCTTACCGGCCGCTCCCTCCCGCGGCCTGCTGCCTGTCCCCGGCCCGCTTACAGAGCCAGAGCCGCTCCCGGGCGCTGGGGCCCCGGTGACCGGGCCGCGGCCTAGGCCTGAAGCACTACCGGCGGCCGGGCCGCGGCCTAGTCCTAGGCCTGACCCCGGGGCGCTGGCGGGGGCTGGTTTCGGCGCAGCCTTACAGTGCGGGAGGTGGGTGCGGAGCCGCTTGAAGGGCCGGTGGCAGTGCGGGCACAGCTCCTGCCCCGGCGGCGCCGCAGCCATCACCGGGCCGCCCCTCAGCGCCCTCCCGGCGCCGCTTTCCCATCAGGCGCCGCCGCAGCCACCCCCGCTGGGGGCTTCGGCCACGCGCAGGGCGCATGCGCCGTGGCCTCACCGCCCCGGCGTGCGCCGTGACGTCAGGGGGCGTGGCCGGCGCGGGGACGCCACTGCGCAGGCGCAGGAGGCGGAGACGCCGGAAGCGGCGGTGGGACGGCTCCGCTCAGCGCTGGGCGGCCGGGCCGGACCGGGCCGAGGCCTCGTCGCAGCCCTTCGCTTTTTTCTCTCCGTCCC